TAAACAAAAGAATTAAAGGATTAAACAAAAAGAAAAAAAAAGAAAAATAGAAATAACGAAATAAAGAAATTAAAAAAAAAAAAGGAAGGAAATAATAAATTAAATATTACAAAAATTGCATCTTCTTATTTTTCACAGTTTTTACAATGTTGCAGCACCATTTGATTTTATTTAGATTATTACTTTATCTTCTTATTATTATTTATTTATTTATTTATTTATTAAACTCATAAATTAATTTATTATTATTATTATTATTATATTTTATTATTACCTTATTTTTAGATTACTGATTTATTAGATTGATTATTTAAATTTGATTTCAAAGTTGCATTTTCCATTTGATTTTATTTTTTTAGATTACTTTATTTTATTATTATTACTTTATTTATTTATTTATTAAATTCATAAATTAATTTATTATTATTATTATTATTATTATTATTATTATATAGTTTATTATTACCTTACTTTTAGATTACTGATTTATTATAGATTATTTAAATTTGATTTCAAAGTTGCATTTTCCATTTGATTTTATGTTTTTAGATTACTTTATTTTATTATTATTATTATTATTATTATTATTTATTTATTAAACTAACAAATTAATAAATTAATAAATTATTTCATTATTATTATTATTATATATTTTATTATTACTTTATTTAGATTATTGATCTTGAAACACAAAACAAAACGAAAAATACAAAGTCTTATCGAACGTGATACTAATTAAGATTTATTTTCACGATACACACATTTAACGTGTGTTGCATATAATTAACATAATTTATCTTTTTCTTTACTACTACTTTTTTTCTTATTTTTTTTTTTTTCTTTTAACCATGAACTTGATGACGAGATCGATAAAATTACTATGCGACTAGATGTTATAGTAATGTGTTTATAAAAGAATAGAAAAAATAAGTTTCAATAAATAAGAATAATGAATTTCTGTTTTAGTTCAAGCAATCCGATTGGTTGAACTACGATGTAAAATAACCTTGCCTTCTCTCTCTCTCTCTCTCTCTCTCTTTCACACTCTCTTTCTTTTTTTCTCTCTCTCTCTCTCTTTCTCGTGGTCATTTCGTCACGGACACGGCTTTTACGGATCGAGTTTACGGCATTTCCAAAGTATACTGCATACACTCATACACACACACACATATATACACATATATATATTCTACGTGTTGTGTTGTTCTTTGCTTGCATTATTATACTACTTCTCTTTGTATATTATACCTTGTACTTACACATACACATATATACATATTACATACATATACATATACATATATATAAATATACATATGCGTGTTGCATTTCTCGGATAATAGACAAAGAACGTTTTGTAGAAGAACAATAGCTATGATGGTTAAGAGAATATACAACCCACCCCCCTATCCTCCCCTACCCCCCTTATCCCTCATAGAAGAAGGAAGAGAAGCGTGATAGTTAAAACCTTTTTTTTATTTTTTTTTTTTTATATTTTTTTTTTTTTTCAAGACTTAGAGATTATGTTTCCTTGATAATGATAATAATAATAATAATAATTGGTAACCAACACACTTTTTCCTAACCCTCTCATTTTATTTTTATTATTATTTTCTTTTTTTCTTAAGGTGTTTAAAATAAAATAAAATAAAATAGATTTTATGATTGTTCTCACCCGAGTTAAGTCGTCTTTTCTTTCTTCTCGTGTTTTTTCAATTTTTAATTGTTATTCTTTGTAACTTTTAATCGTTTTGCTACTATGGATCACTATAGTGGTCCGTAAGATGCTACTGAGATACTACGGACCACTATAGTGGCCCTGCATAAAATGCTATTGAGATACTACGGGCCACTATAGTGGCCCTGCATAAAATACCGCATATTTTACGTACGACGAACATATGCAGTTATAGCACTAAGTCAAATATTCCACTGTGGACGTGTAATTTTATAGTGTTTTGTTTCTTTTGATTGAAAAATCGTTAATATCAACAACAAAATTATTTAAAAATAAATTTCAATTGCAACAATTTCGATGCTGTACGTATTAGCAGCCCGTACAGTAGAAGTAACACCGTGAAAAATACACCCATAGCAAAAGGGTTTAGTAGTTATACTTTTAATAGTACATTCAAGATATTTTATTTCTCGTATTAAGGTATTTTTGTTTTGTATTATTATTGTTTAATTATACAATATTATTATGAAACTTTTCTTTGTGATATTTTTTTCTTTTTTTGTATTTTTTCTAATCTTACAAAAAAGCCATCCTCCCCTTTGATAATAATTCTCGAATATAATATGTCGCGACGATATTTGATAGGTGAGAGGGGGTTGTGTGTATGTGTGCATGTGTGTTAGGATAAAATTCAACGAGACGCGTGTGACCCATGCATGAGAATCCTTCAACGAATTTCTCCCATTTTTCTCAGCACGCAGCAAATTTCGTTTTCTTTTTTTTTTCTACCCCTCTTGGGACATCAAGCTACACATACGTACTCGTCCGGTGCGATAAATATTCTAAACGTAGGGGTGGGAGGAACTTGTGTGTGTGTATGTGTTCTCTTGGAACACGGGTTGGGTTGGTTGAAAAAAGAAAAGGTAAAAGTAAAAAGGAAAAGGAATGAAATACGAAAGGTGAAGTGCGAAGGGAAAGAAAATGCCCCTGGCTCATACACACATATATACCTACACATACACACATACGCACCTTACCTGTCTGCCTGTCTGCCTACCTGCCTGCCTACCTGCCACTCGTGTCGGCCTCGCGATTTGCGTAAACACGTTCTAATTTATAGCATATAGGGTTGGTAGTACTTGCCCTATGTACCAGAATGAAAAAGAAGGAAACAAAGAGAAAGAGAGAGAAAGAGAGAGAGAGAGAGAAAACCACTCTCACCACCCTTACCACTACTACTATGCAATTTTGCTCATATTTTTCACAGTTTAGAGAGAAAAAGCAAGTGTTCTCTCTTGCTTTTCTAATTTTTTATAACCTTGAATCTTTTAACAAGTACGTTTTTTTTTCTACATTTAATAAATAAAAAATGAACATTTACGTCAGAATAAAAAAAATTAATAGAATATAAAAATGTGATATTTAGCAATGTTAAATACTGAAGCATCAGAAATCATCAGTTATGTCTTATAGATCAGAATCAAACAGTCATTCAGTAAGTCAGTCAGAATAGGTCAGTCAGAATCAGTCAGCCAGTCAGAATCAGTCAGCCAGTCAGAATCAGTCAGCCAGTCAGAATCAGTCAGAATCAGTCAGTCAGACATTCAGTCATTTAGTCTGTCAGAAATCATCAGTTATGTCTTATAGATCAGAATCAACCAGTCATTCAGTAAGTCAGTCAGAATCAGTCAGCCAGTCAGTATCAATCAGAATCAGTCAGTCAGACATTCAGTCAATTATACATTCAGTCAGTCAGACATTCAATCAGTCAGTCAGAATCAGTCAGTCAGACATTCATTCAGTTAGTAAGTCAGTAAGTCAGTTTCATCGCCACAAATACCAAACCCCGCCCAGTGTTCCCATCCCTGATCTTGACCCTGTTCACTCGCGGTTTTCGTAGTCCACTTCTTTAAGATCCCGAACCAATATTGTCCTCCCATCCACGTTTCGGTCTACCCAGTGGTCTTTTCCCGTTGGTATACCGATCAGTATTTTATGCACCGTTCGATTCACCCCCATGCGTGCCACGTGACCTGCCCATCTTAATCGGCGCGATTTTACGACGTTAATGATGTCCGGTTTTGTTGTACAGTCAGGTGTACTTCTACGTTATGGGGTTTTCTCCGATTCGGTCGTTTCCTCATTGCGTTTTGCACCCGAAGATTTGACGAACAACTTTATTTTCGAAAAGCTTCAATTTCTTTTCGTCCCGTGACGTAAGTGACCACGTTTGGGTACCTTAAAGGACTACCGGTAGGATGATTGTCCTGTATATCCTGATTTTGAAGTTCCTAGACAGCAATCGTGAGCTGAATAATTTATTGACATTGCCTAAATTCTACCTCTTTTCCTCTCCCTTTTGTTGGGTTCTGTTGAAGTTGAAGAAGAAGGTGTAAAAGCGTGGGTGTGAGGAGTATCGAAGAAGAAAAGGATGTTTTTTCGTTTCTAAGGGATCCCCCATTTATACGCTTTATCTAGATTCGATAATTCGAAAGTTGAGTTTAAAACGTTCATGGTTTGAACAAAAGTAAATTCCACTTCGTGGATTGGTCGTTCTCAGACCAAAGTTAGGTGTCTTCGTATTCGAAATTTTTCATAAGATAAAAATCGCGGTTTTACTTCAATGGATTCTCTTCTATAAAAGAGGATGGAGGTGGTGATTGTGAGTAGAACAGAGATAAGGAGAGATAAGGAGAGGAAAAAGAAATGGTTTCGAGAATGAGAATCGAAGGGAAGAAAGGGAAAAGGGTAAGGGTGGTGGTGGTGACAGATGCAAAGATACTAAATTAGAGTACTACTGGGTACAGGGAAATGAAATCGTTCAGATGAATCCATTTAAATAAAATTGATGTATATATATGTATGTATATATGAAGAATTCATTTTTGGAGAATATAAATTTCCCTCTCCCCCCTCAAAATAAAAAAAAAAAAAATAAAATAAAATTGAAATAGAAAAGGAAAGGAATATTTTCATTTGTTTCAGTCTTTAATCTTCTTTTTTTTTTTTGTAATAATATTTGTATATGAAGTATTCATTTTTAAACATGTAAATTTTCCCGCCAAAAAATAAATGACAAGTAAAATCTTCATTTCTTTTAGTCTTCCTGTTTTTTTGTTGTTGTTGTTGTAATTTTTGTAATTTTGTAAATTTTGTTTTTTTTTTTGATAAATAATATTCCCTTAACAACTTAACGAATAACATTTTTATGTATTTCACATTTAAAAAATCAAAATACTTTAAGCTTTGTTTTGATATTAATAAGAATTTATTGTTTTCACTGTGTTAAATCGTAAAAAAAAAGTTAATAATACATCCTTACCTCACCATCCTCTTTGCAGTCGCATGTCAACCTGCCATAGTGATCGCAGGAACAGGGCGAATAATCGCACCTGTTAGTTGAATTCGTCAGGACACCTTTCATCAGCAAACAACTCCAAAATAGTCCAAGAATCGCACTACCTAGCACGAATTTCGCTGTTCCCATTTTGTGCATGACACCTTCCCTTCCCTTCCTTCCTTCCTTCCTACCTTCCGTCCGTCCTTCCTTCCTCTTTCTTTAGCCCTTTTTCACCCTTTCTCTTCTTTTGTCCTTTGTCCAGGTAATTTTTTTTTGTTTTCTTTACATCATGTAATCCCTTTTCGTGAACCAATTTATTTAACGTGTAACCAAACCAACATATATATATTTTTTTCTTTCAATTTTTATGTTTATTTTTTTTTTATTCTTTGTTTATTCTTCAAATCTCAATTTTTTTTATATTAATTATTAATTAATTATTTTCATATATTATCAATTAATTAATTTTTTGTTTTTCTGTTTTTGATAAATTTATTCTTCAATATTTTAATATTTGTCTGATATTTTTTTTTGTATTATTTGTCTGATATTTTTTTCCAAATTTTGATTAAAGTCCTTTAAACCTTAGAAAAAGGTTGTTTTTTTTTTTGTATTGTGGCGTACGTCAAAAAAGTACCCCAACCCCACACAACCCTACGTCATTCTATCGGTCATATCATTCGAACGATCATTATTATCAATTTTATCATATCACTTGTATTATTGTTATTATTATTATTATTAATATTATTAATAATAATAGTATTGTATGATATTTTTCGTTTGTTTAAATTGATGATCCATCGACTGATTGAATTTTCAAAAGAAAATTAAAAAACACTTGGAATTATTCCTCTTCTATAATAAATCGTTGTAATCCAATTAGTACGTGGTAAATTCACATTAACGTATGATATCATCATAATTATCATCATCATCATCATCATCATCATAATCATCATCGTTAGATTTCTTATGTCAATTGAACACGTGTTATCTTTCTTCGGTGTGTTATCAGCCAACAAGTCCGATGATAATATTTCTTCTTCTCTGTAAAGATAATAAAAATAGTCTGATAAAGTTCTTCGTATTATTTAAATCATAATAAAATCATAATAATAATAATAATAATAATAATATTAATAATAATAATAATGATGACAATTCTACGACGATTCTTTGTGATCATATTTCAATAATAATAATAATAAGAAGAATAATATAAAATTAAAAGAAAAGGGAACACCCTTCTCAAACCCTTTTGGGTTCAAATTGAATTCTTGATTATCGTGTTACATATCTTAGATACGTGTGTGTATGTGTTTGTGTGAATGTTAGTGTGTATGTGAATGTGTTCATTCGTATCACGTTTATTGTGGATGAAAGTTCATTCTTCTGGGATTCGAAACAAGCATATATATATATGTGTACATGTACGTTGTGTGTGTGCATGTATGTTGTGTGTGTGGATGTACGTATGGGTACTTTGAAAGGAAGATGATAACACATCGTATATATTGATAAACGTTGTCTCGCGATAATATTCGAGAATATCGTGCGAAATCGATGTTAGGAGATACGTTGCTGATATTTCTTTGAAGAAAATAAAATACAAATCTCGAAGACAAACTATGACACATAAGTTTTTAATCCTTGTGTTCATGAGACTTTAAGAATTTTGTTCATAAAGGTGTGAACGTGCTTGTATTTTATATAAAGTACTAGAGGTGTCTTGCCACGTGTTGTTGTGACTCACAATCAGTCCAATACACACGTCTTTAAGTCAATTGCAATTATAAATTGAGATATAAACTATCCTATCTTTTAAGTTGGATGAAACTGCACACAGTGTGGAAAATTTGATTAAAATCGGTTCAATAGTTTAGGAGTCCATTGCGGACAAACAACGTAACTCGTAATTTATATATATTAAGAAGATATATAATAGAAATATTATGGTAATGTGTGTACAACATATTCCTTTAAAAAGCACATGGTAGTGAAAAAGAAAAAAAAGAAGATTAAATTAAATGAAAAATAAAGAAACACAGAAATGGTGAAGTGGGTGTAATAAAAGGATGGGTGGATGTAAAAGGGTGGGTGGGTGGTTGTTTAATTGTCCCTTTAACTCTCTTTAAAATACAATCATAAACTTTCTTGAATAAATTAACCAACATAATTAACAATAATTAAATTAATCAGTAGAAATAATATCGTGATAATGTGTGTACACACACACATACACACACACATATTACTCCTTTAAAGAACACACGGTAGGGAAAAAAGAAAGAGAAAATTAAATTAAAAATAAAAAAAAAAATAAAAACACAGAAATTGGGAAGAAGGTGGGTGTAAAATGATGGGGGGGGGTGGGGGAGTGGATGTTTGGAATACAATCTAAATTTGACCTATATATTTATATGTGTGAAAATTATGAAAAATTATTTAAAAGGTATGACAAAAAAAAAAAAAAGAAAAAAAAGAAATTATGAAATAATTCCACGTATTTTCTCATTTCCCCATAAATTTGTTGAAATTGCAAGACGACTTCTCTCTTTCTCTCTCTCTCTCTCTCACTCTCTCTCTCGTCTGTTCGTTTGTTCGTCTCTGTTCGTCTGACCGACATTTTAACGCATATAATCGACTAACCTACTTCTGACAAACGCAGGGAATCACTTGTCACAGTAGCAAATGAGAGAAAATTTATTCTGATAACGAAACAACCGTAATTTTAACACTTCAAACAAATTATTATTGCTCACACTTCATATATATATATATATATATTCATATATAAATATATAATTTTTATAGCATCAGTTTTTACATATTTTTATGTATTATTATTTTATTTTATTATTATATATATATATATTAATTAATTATTATTATTATTATTATTATTATTATTATTATTGGTCACACTTTATATTTATGTATTTAAAATATATTATTATTATTATTATTATTATTATTATTATTATTATTATATATTTAATAATTTTAATATTATTATTTTCTAAAAATATATATTTTTATATATTATTTTTTTAATATTATAATTATATTAATTTAATTATAATTATAATTATAATTATATAAATATTTTCTTTTTTTTTTATATATAATTTTTTTTTAATATATAATATTATATTATAATATATAAATCATAATACAAAATTATATTATAATAATATATTTCTGTATATTATGATTTGTACATATTATAATATAATATTATATAAATTATTGTGTATTTTGGGGGGAGTGGGGGGGAGGGAGGTACTGATTGTGAGCCACAGCAACGCTCTAATTCTAATTTAATTATTTTTAATTATTATTTAAATAATTAATCGAAGAAAGTTCACAATTTTTGATGATTTAATGTTAAGTTGAAATTAGCATCACAAAGGTTGTGAAAATAAAGTAAGTAGTCAAATATATGCAAGCTTGAGTAATATTCTTTTTCTTTCTCTCTCTCTCTCTCTCTCTCTACTTTGCAACTTTGCAATGCAACTAGGTTGCACATATATGCACACACATATATATGCATACATATCCAAAGTAGAAGTAAAATGTTTTGCAAATATTTTAACTCTCTTACATTTTTTATTATTATTTTTCTTCTCGACACAAGAAAACTTATGTGTGTGTGTGTCTGTTTTCTTTCAACCAGGTTTTTAAAAGAAAAAAAAAAAAAAATGAAAAAAACGGGTTTTAGAATTTTCTTAGAGTAGTAGAATGAATTTTTTAAATTTATTTTTTTTTTTTCACGTTGAGTAACCAATCAGGTACGAATTATACTACTCGAAAACTTGCTTGCTTTATGTACGCGTATTGTAAGAACAGTATTCGAACGTTTTCTATGTTAATGGTGGTGTTATCGGTTGATCGAATGAAATACATATGTGTATATATATATGTGTGTGTATGTATGTGTGTTAGTTGAATGCTCGAGCAACAAGAGTATGTAAAAATCCGGTATCCTAATCGCAGCTCGTAAAACACGCCTTGTTACCTTACCCAAGACCCCCAAGACCCTGTTCGCGTGTTTTCAACACTTTTTCGATTTTTCTTCATTAGTTTAGGGTGGTTGGGGGGGGAGAGAGACGGGGGGAGGTGAGGGTTTGTGCTAGACAGTGAACAGAAAGGGAAAAGGAAAAAAAAAAAAAGGAAATGAAACAAGAATGAAAGGTAAATGAGCAAAGAGTTAGAAAAAGGTACAATGTGAATAATTTTATAGTACACGTCATCATGCCACGTGTTTTTTTGTTTTGGTTTAGTTTTTTTTTTTTTTTTCTAGTGGAATATTTTGCGTGTCTTTGACATCAAACGAAGAAATTGTTGAAATTAAAATTGTAGAATTTATTGTAATATTTCAAAGTTTATCTTTCATTCTTTCTTTCTTTCTTTTTTCTTTTCTTTTGGTAATTAATCTAAGTGACATTATTTTTTTATTTTTTATTTTATTTTAAGGGGGATTATTTAAATGGGTGTGTGTTTCAATTAAAAAAATGAAAAATAAAATTATTTTAATAATATAATAATAATTATTATTATTATTAATAATAATGTAATAAATATTAAAAAATATCTTAAATAAATAAATAATAAAATATAATAGTAAAAAGAAAAAATAATAATAATAAAAAAAAAAAAAAATATAGAACCATCAAATAATTTAAAAATTTATACAATTATATTCTTATGGGTGTATTTTTTTTTCATTCTTATGGACACAAAAAAATAAAAAAATTAAAAAATGAATCTTCGTTTAGTCGCATACAACGGGATGAGGAAGTATAAAAGAAGAAGAAGAAGATTATTATAGTAAGGTGGCAATATGGTTGGAAGAAAATTGCATTGGGGTTGCTCGGGTAAAAAATAAAAAAAAAAAAAAAAATAAAAATAAAAAAAAAAAAGAAAAAGGAGAACTCAGGAGTGAGAATGAAAGGCTCGTTGTGCTGCTGCTGCTACTACTACTACGATTCACAAAGCACGGGGTTTTTTTCCAAAAGAATTTTCCTTCTATTTCCTACCCTCTTTCCTACCCTCTTATATTCCCCCCCCCACCCCGCCTATCATCTCACCCTTCTCTCTCTTTTACTCTTTTACTCTTTTACTCATATTTTTGTCACTTATTTTTTTATTTCTTATTTTACTTTCTTCCTTCCTATCTTAATTTCTTCCCAAGTACTTTTCTATCTTTTTCTAACCAACGCGAAATTCCTCTTTTTTTTTTTTTTATTATTTTGGAATACCATCAAAAAAAAAAAAAAGAAAAATTAAATAAGAAAAATAAAAAGGACAGAAAGAAAGAAAGAAATGGTGTAAAGTAAGGGAAGACAGCAGCAGAAGTCCTTTTTTTCTTCTGGTATTTTGATTAATTTAACGAGCTGAGCTGTTAACTTGCTAATACTTAAAGAATTGAAGGACATTTTTTTTTATTAATATCATCACCACCATATCCCCTCCTCATCCACCCTCATTTCTTTCTTTTAGTCTTTCTTTTTTTCCTCTTTCCTTCTTATTAACCCATTTAAAATCCACTTGCACACGGTATGTGCAATCACACTTAACTTGAGACACCCACTTGCATACAGTGTGTGCAATCATAGTGAGCTGTTATCAATTATTCTGAGCAAAGTTTTTGTTGAGATAAGAAATTTTATTTTTTAGTTTTTAGTTTTGTGTTTTTTCTCTATTTTCGTTTATTCAATTCGAGATTCACTTGTATACAGTGTGTGTAATAATTTTTGGTATTAAGAGACCACTTGCATACAGTTTGTGCAATCATAGTGAGCTGTTATCAATTATTCTGAGCAAAGTTTTTGTTGAGATAAGAAATTTTATTTTTTTATTGTTAGTTCTTTGTTTTTTCTTCATTTTGGTTTATTCAATTCGAGATTCACTTGTATACAGTGTGTGTAATAATTTTTGGTATTAAGAGACCACTTGCATACAGTTTGTGCAACCATACTAAACTATTATCAATTATTTTAATTAAAGTATTCGTCAAGATAAGAATTTTTTTTTTTTATAAATAT